TAAGCCCGTACTTATTCCAGCAGTTAAAGACTTCAGAAGTGTGTTTGAAAACCTGAAGAGTGTTGCTACTCAGGACTTTTAGATGATTTTAAAAAGCAAGTACAATTCTCTCCTTTTTCCTTGGAACTTTTCTTCTCTCTTAACTGTCTGAGAGAGACTGCAGGGACTTCTCACCCTTGGATGGAAAGACAAAACAATTTGGTGTTTGGTGGTTTGCAGAAAGTGTTTTTGAGGGTAAGCCAGGAAACACTTGCTGGTGCCTCAATTTTCTGTGGCATAAACTTACTGAGCTCCCAGGCAGGAGTTCTGAAGGGCTGGATTTCTGCTCTTTAACGGTGTTATCTTGGTGTATTTCCTCACCCTCAGAAGAAAAGAGAATGTCTGGTGGTTTCAGGGTTCAGTACGTACGCAGGGAAGGTAACAGCATGTGCTTGAAGCATCGCTCTTGTCCGAGCTCGGCTGCGTGGGATCCTTTCCGAAGGCTGGGCCTCAAAGGCCAACAGCTGCCGTAGAAGAGGAGTCCAGGTCATGAGGTTTGGATTGCAGTTGCCTGTCCTGGGGACAAATGATGTTGAAATAACTTGTCATAAACAATTTTTTCTTGTTCGTTTGCTCTCGATTCGGTAACGCGCAGCCGATCCCGATAAGAGTCATTCAGGAGTGAAGAGTTGGAGCTGCCAGAGAAAGCAGCTTATGGCAGCGGTTTAGAGCAGGAATGTGCCAACAGTGTGCGAACAAGAAGAAACCTCTTCTGAGGGGGAGACCTGCTCCTGTTCTTCAGGAGAAAGGGGATGCCGAAGGTCTGATGCAGTTCCTTTGCTGAAGTGCAGGAACAGCTGGGTGGGATGGCCGAAAGGGGAGTTAGGTGCTTAAACATGAATGAGTTGTTTAAATGTCTTTATAGGCGTGTGTGTCTAAGCACAAATAATCCATAGGATGAAGGAAGGAAAGCACTGTGGTATCAAAGGAATTCCGTCCTCACATTAAAATTGCCAGCCTGAAGAGTTGGCTTTCTTTCCTTGAGATATTCTTTCCCTTCTTCTCAATCTCCACGCGCTGCCTAGGGCAAGCCGAGCATTTTTGGGTGTAGTGGTGGTCTTTGTTTGCTTCCCTGAAAATTTGTTGGAAGGGACCTGCGTGAAAAGAATGGGTGGTTGGTCCCCAAAGCGCAGCCCAAGCTCTTCATGTAAGACTACATGATGTTTTAGTATAATTTTCCCTAGCTTTGGGTGGATTGGAAAGGAAGGCTATTATGGGAATCCTTAGTGAAATTTTTAGTTCCTTGTGGACACTTGTTCAGTTTTTCCTCGTGTAATACACTAGGCTGAGGTCATGGTTATAGAGTTGGTGGGGTTTGGGGTGGGGTTTTTTTTCCCCCAGAGCTGAAAGTAGTTACCTAAGCAGAGATTTTCTTTTCCCCCAGCCAGAGCTGAAAGTAGTTACCTAAGCAGAGAACCATCCTGTGTTTTCTAGTTCAAACACTGAGAAATGTCTCCTGCTAGGAAACATACTTGGAGAAACATTTCTCTCAGCCATTTTCAAGTCTCTCACTGGTGCTGGATTCCTTACTTGAACTTGAATCTGACAGAGCAAGAACCAGAGAGTTGAAAAACCAGAGCTCCTTTTTCTGGAAAGCTTTTATAAAAGTTCAAGTATGTACTTCCAAGTATTCAATATTTACTTTATATAGCCTCTGTTTTGGCAAAGGAATTATTAAAGTTATAATTGATTTTGCTGCCCTTTTTGAGGTTCTTAGATATTTTCAGGAGATGATTGCTTTTACAGTTTGGTGCCCAGAATGATGAAGACTGTATATAGTATCTCTTCCATGAAGTTTTAACTTGCTGGGCAGAACAGTTCCCTTTGAAGACTATGTTCCTACCTTACCAAAGTATTGTGAAAAGGGTGTTATTCAGTTCCTACTCTTCTGTTCTCTAGATTAAACTTGAGCTCTGGTAGTAAAAGCTGGCACGGAGTGAACCCTGTGGTTGTAGTGATTGATCTGAAAGGCCTGACAGGCTGGTTTGGTATATAAGGCTGTGAAAACCTTTCATGGAGAGAGTTTCTGAGCTACCTTCACTGAGCTCAACAGGACCAAGTTAAATGAAAAGGTTTGATCTTTGACTTACGGAATTGTTTGCAAAATTTTAATTGGTTCAAAACTTACAAGCAACTTCAGTGCCACTTTCAGATGCTGAACTGATATTTCAGCCAGTGAGGGTAATCTGTTTAAAGACAGAATAGAGCAGGAATAGCTACAGTGTGAGTGTTTTTCTGTGCTCCCAACCTTCGTGTTGAAGCAAGTGCCCCTGCTGGGATTGAGTTCTGCTTTGAAAAGGGAGCTGGTGACCCCTGCGAGTCCTCAGGGCCTGCAAATGCCACTGGTAAGAAGAGCTGATTGTAGTAATCAAATGAATACTCCTCAGATGCAATTAGCAGTGTGATTGGTATTTCATAGAAGCGTAGGTCTTTCAGACGGCAGTCCTTCAGTGGTAAGTCTTGCACTAAAAATACTCTCTTCTTGTTTAGTATATGTTTTTAATTTTTTTTTCTAATAACACAGCAGCAACCATCAAGTCCGAAATATTTTTACAGCGTACATGGTCAGGTTCAGAGAGCTTCATGTAAAATGCTGTGTTGCCATAAAAGCTGGAGTCTTTGAGTATCAGGGAAGCTGGCCAGAGCTGCCGTGTAATCAACAGTATGTGCCTAAATTAAATCTGAATTACGACAAGCCATTTGGGGATCTTGATTTGGGGAAATTTCACTTAGGCTGAAGGGGATTCTAATCTTTAACAACATCAAGATTCATAACTTTAATAGAAAGAAAAAACCCAAAACTACCCCCCTCCCTTCTAAAGAGAATATCAATTTGTTGTCCTGAAAATGGATTAATGGGCAGTGTGATATCATCTCTTTCCTCTCAGTTTGTCCTCATCATCTTATTCCACTTGTGCAGCTCTGTACGTCTGCTCAAGTCCCACTTTTTCTTACTAATCAAGGTGCAGCTTTTCCATCCTGGTGCTCACTGGATTGAAGGAGGCTGGAGGAATGGCCAGGATTATGATGGATTGATTCGGTGCTGACTGTTCTATAGAAAGGATCAGGTTTGGGGAAGAAGAGTTTGAGCGTTGATCCCCGGGAGTCTTACTATATTTAATGTTGTCCAAGTGCTTGTAACCAGACGAGTGCTCTATAAAGCACACTTAAATAAACATTGATGAAAGCAAGTCTTATGATCCCCTGCATTTCCATGAGCTATTGAGAGGTGACACAATTGTAATGTCACACCAGGATATTATCTGACAAGTTGGGGGAGTTGTTCTTAAGCCAAAAAGATTGAATCACCGCGTTCCTTTTAACCTCTCACAAGTTAGTGGCGTTGGCCTGATTTGAACTGGTGGCTGCAAGGTAAGAGACTGCATCAGGATTCCCAAGGTTCCTTTTTTAATTGCAGTTTTGCTTTAGTTAATAGCAAAACCATTGCACTTTGATGTTGCTCTCTATTGTGTTAACTATTTAAAACAATAAACCCTGCATTATTCTTCCTTGGCTTCCTTGCCGTGATTTGTCACAGCTAACACTTTTCTGATAGGGTTTTTACTTTGCTACTTAAGGCAGAACTATGTTTAGAATGGAATGGAACTATGATAGAATGGAATTTCATTTATTGTAGAATCAGGAGGGTTCGAATTATTTATTCTTTTTTTTTTAAGGTAAAGTAATTGAGTTATGTTGGTAGACAGAAAAACAGCAGCTTGTCTAAGGATTCAGGAATTACAGGCTTTTTTTCCTCCCCCGCCTCATGGAAGCTCATGTAACAGATTTGTGCAATATTGGATCATCAAGAATATAAATGCCAGCATTCCTGTGACACCGTGAGCCGTTAGACTTCTTAGCTTTTATTAGGAATAAAATACAGGTTTCAACAAGTTGAGCCACGTGTCTATACTTTAAATATTTTTGGTCTCAGGATTATCCAAGTTACTTTTAATACTGTTTTTTGTGTACTGGCTTGTGGTTGCCTTCACCTGATTTTTAATGCTTTTTCTCCTAAATCCTCCCCATGTTCCTCCTATCTCGATTCCTTGTGGTGTTTTTTGAGGTTGGCTTTGGGTTGGGTTTTGGTGGTTTTTTTGGGGGGGAGAGGGTGTCACTTTCCCTAGTTCTGGCGATTCTTACTTCTTTTTCATTCCTAAAGCTTCCATTGATCATCTAGAAAAGTTTAGGAAGCTCGTTAGTTCTTCTTTCTCCAGCTCAATGGCTCGGTGCATCTGCTGCCGTGTATTGCAGCTTTAGAGAGGATACTTGCTGTCCAAAGCAGCAAGTAGAGAAGAGTTCCATTTTTTCCTTCTTTGCTTGAGAGGCTTATCCAGATATTCTGAGAACAAGACAGAGGAGTTTTGAAATTTATATATCTTGTGGGTTTTTTCCTGTCTCTGCCGAACAAACTTGTAGTGTTGCAGAAATGCAGTTTGTGTTCAGGCAAAGAGCTCCGAGACATCCAGCAGAACCTGGTTGTGTATTTGTACTTTGCACGTCGTTGTTACGAGGCTGTGTGTGCTCTAGGATGTCCCAGGAGTGGGGAAAGGTGGAGCAGGGTCTGTATAGTTCATGCGATCACACATTTTCAGGGCTACTAGGAAAATGCAGCCATATCTGCCGATTAATTAAAGCATAAATTTAGGCAGTAGTGGCTCTGTGGCATTTACAGTGTTCTTACAATAGGATTTGTTTTAGAAGGCTCCAGAAGGCTGTTTTGAAGATCTTAAGAAAGTGAACTTCACAAACTATTTATTTTGAAAATTATATATATAGACACACATGTATATGTGTTATCACACATATTTAAAAGCAACCCTGACCTTCCCACCACCCTTCTGAAATTAACCTATTGCAGCCTCTTTCCTCTGAGAATAAGCTTGCTGTACGTTCCTAAAGAGAAAATTAACCGAGTCTAATTGAATGGCTCTCTCTAAAATTCTTTTTTATTTTAACAGAGCTCTCTGAAATTGAACCCAACGTCTTTCTTCGGCCTTTCCTGGAAGTAATCCGTTCGGAAGACACTACAGGCCCCATCACTGGATTGGCCCTCACCTCTGTGAATAAGTTCCTCTCCTATGCACTAATAGGTAAGTTACGTGGTTTCCTGGGATTTACCAAAATCCCAGCCAAATGCATCTCCTTGAGACGTGTCTTTGGCCAGGAGACTTGCTTGCAGTCGTAGTGAGGAGAGTGGGGAAATAAGAAAACTGCCATTAATTCTGGGAAAATAGGCATCTGCAGTTTCTTAATATCCTGGAATATCCTATATATTTGCTGGAATTTCGTGGTGCTTCAGCAACAGCTGGAAATGGAGCCAAAGCTTCTGGTCTGCCCCGTCTTCTGCCCGACCTTGTGGCCTGACGCTGGGCTGTGGTGGCCACCAACTGCTTTTTAATGCAGTGCAAGCAAAAGGGCCATGGAGGAGAGAATTCCAGCTTGGATTAGGATGTTGTAATATATATACATCAACACAGTAGAATTTATTTAGTTTTATGGATTAATATTTCTGTGTCATCCTGGTGTTCATGGTGCTTGATTTTTCCGTGTAAATTCTGTTAGTACTTTCTGATCGTACCTGCGTGAATTACAAAACTTATTATTGATGTTTATACATAATCTGACTTGGAGAAAATTATTTTACCTATTTTTCCTTCCCCCAAGTTCAGACTTATCAATTTCTTTCCTCCTTTATGTTGTAAGTGAACACTGTTGAGTTCTTGGCACTGTTGTTTGAAATATCTTGGTTTTTTGGGGGTTAGCATAAGCCAAGATAGAGAAAGAAAGGACATGAAGATCTGTGTAAATGCAAACCACTTTTGTGGGAAAGACCCATCATAAAAATGGGGAAAAAATGGGGACTTGCAGAAAAAAAAAATTTTTTTTAGTTTGATGGAAATTTAGTGTGTTAAGACATCAATTAGCGGGCAGTATTGGGTGTAATTAAGTGCCAGAAAATAACGAAAAGAATATGACAGTGTCACTTCGTAGGACAATAAAGAAATCTTAATAAATAAACCTGTAAAACATGTCCCACTGAAGGACTAAGCAATAATGCAAAATATGTTATTTTTCAATGTAGAAGAAGAGTAAGTTTTTAAATTTTTATTTGAAAATAAAATTGTTTATTCTGTGCTTTTAAGGCCGGGGTGGGATCAGAACATCAGGCTGGTATCACATACCCAGGCAAACGTCTGCACGGACGTTAGTTTTCGACATAGAAGAAGTATACTGTTTTTTTTATTTTTATTTTAAATAAAATTGCTCATTCTGTGCTTTTAAGGCCTGGACGGGATCAGAACATCAGGCTGATATCACATACCCAGGCAAACGTCTGCACGGACAACAAACACTTAATTTGAGGCAGAAACAGGAAAAAAAAGCAGTTAAGCATTTGTAGCCTTCCTCTGGCTACTTCTTGTTTAAACTCTTAATTAGGTCACCCCAGCAAGGGCGCATCCCTGTAACTGCTGGGCGTGTGTCTTTGTAGTAGACGGTGGAGAAGCCCCTCTGCCTGGCTGTTGTGGTGGAGCAGAACCTGTAATCTCAGCCTTCGGGTGACATTCACAGCAGCCTTGTCCTTTGTGCTGCTCCAGATACCGGGGAGGCCGGGATTAGTGGTGCTGGCTGAACATCTGGCTAGGCTTGTGTTGTTAAATGAAAGCTTTTTTGGTCTTATGTTTCTCTTTGTAATATAAGAATGAAGGTAGTCTAAAGACTGTTTGCCTAAAGCTAGGAAAAACTGTCCTTAATATCCCAACCTGTTTCAAACTGTATGGACGAGGAAGGACGGACTCTGGCATAACCAGGGTGGGGAGATTTTGGTGTGGCTCATATTTGTGGTGCATTTTGGGGCTGCATCATTGACAGGTGAAACCAGGAGCTTTTCACTCGCTGTGTCCGCTCTGTGAGTGGGTGCCTTTTGCTGTACACACTGGCTCGAAAACCAGTGGGTGGTGAAAGGGCCAAACTCTTCTGTTAATTATCATTGTTAAAAACTGCTTCCTTTTCTTATTTTCAAAGCATTTCGTTGCTAATCCTTGTGCCCTCTCGCTGGTTTTCTTAACTACCTGCTGACCTGCGACAGAATATTTACTTTTCAGACCAGGGGGTCTGAGGGGTGTTGCTGAGGGGTGTGCTTGAAAAACAGTTAGAAAAGAGTAATTCTTGAGTAGCCTTTGAGACTTCTGATCCCCAGTAGTCAGAATTGCAAAGATGTGGTCTGAGATTGCTGGGTGCAGCAGTTCTCTCACGGTATAGCGTGGAATCACAGCTCATTTAGATAAAATCACAGATATATCCATCCTGCGTGTTTTGGTAGGAACAGTTAGCCTTGCAGGGATTATCCTCTGCTCTGAAATAACTACTGCTGTTTCGAGAGTCGTAGTCAATACATTCTGCAGTAATTTTTTAAAGTACAAGAAAATTGAGCGACAATACTAAACTCCCATTAATTTTTATCTCTCAGATTAGTTATTTCCTTACTCAGCAGTTTTGCGGCAGCTGTCAGCCTTTCTGAGGAGCTCAAACCTTAGCTATAGGAAGACTAGTGGCTGAATTTCAGAATTGTCTTTGATGCGTTTTCCTCAGAAAAGGTATTTGCTCTTTTTAGTGTCACAGTTTGTCCACAGCAGCTTTTGGCTCCAATTCTAAAGTGAAGTTTCCCTGGTGTTCCTGCAAACTACGTCTCTGGAAGTGAATAGCTGTTGCTCAGCTTCTAGTGAGAGGACTCGCTGCTCAGGGAGTTTAAACCTTTTTCTTCCCTCTACCTCTTCTGTCTCCTTCAGTGATTTATTTTAGTTCCATTAAAGGTGTTACTGAGCAGGTTTCTGGCTTTCCAGGGTTTCCCTAATGGTTGAGAGCCTGGATTTTCTGCTTTCTGCTTGTTCTTTTGCCTGCCTGTTGTGAGAGTACACCCCATGTGAAATGTGTAAGTCTAGATGGGGTCTCTGGATCTCTGCGTTGTAGGTGGTGATTTTCAAACTGATATTTTGCTTCACACTGACTTATTTTTGTTAGTGATTCTGAGCAGGCATTGGCACATCTTTTCTGTAGTGTTTTCTCACAAGGGAACCAAGAAGCGGGTTGATCTTTTCTGTATTTTGTTTCTGCAAAGTAGAAGTATATGTGCTTTTAATTGAACTCAAGAGGCTTTATAAATTGACCTGAATTTGTAGAGCTGTTCCGGGGAGCCAGGACTTGAAGTAGTCAGGCGTGATGTGTGTTGGAAGAGAGGTGTGTTTATCAGTGCTGAAGGTAGGGGCTAGAACAGCAAAGCGGTAATCGTAGATCTGTTCAAGAAGCATATGCACAACTTGCATTTCCCTTTCACACAGGCTATTTATCCGTAACTATGACTAAATGTATCCCTAAGGCTACAGCAACTCACATCTTGGTGTGTCTGCTTGTGGGTAGCTTTTTCTGCAGCAAGTGGCTTTTCCCTCTTGATGCCGTTTAGCTGCTTTCCACTGTTGAAGTAGGTTAGAAAATGCTGGAGGTGCTGGCAATGTAACACCACTGGTCTTTACCTGGTTTAGTTGAGGCAATTTAGAATGATCTTATATCACCATTGATGGTTTAAGCTATTATTTTGAATAAGAATACACAGGGCACCAGCATATGGCTGGTTTTATTGCCTCTGGTAAAAGGGTGGTAGCTTCTCACTGGATTATAAGGCGTTATTGGAGGTAGATGGAGAACTGCCTTTGACAGCCAGGCCTCTTACCCAGTGCTTTCCTGTATCAGTCTGGTGTCCATAGAATTGTAGAATTGCCAAGGTTGCATCTAGTCCAACCATCAACCTAACACTGACAAAAACCATCACTAAACCATATCTCTAAGCTCCAAGTCTACCTGGCTTTTAAATACCTCCAGGGATGGCAAGGTGCCACTCAACCACTTCCCTGGGCAGCCTAACTAACTAACTGATTAGTTAGACTATCTAACTGATACCACTCAACCACTTCCCTGGGCAACCTAACTAACTGATTAGTTAGACTATCTAACTAACTCACAACTATCCAGTTGAGTGCTGCTCCTGAATCAGGTAAAAAAATAACTGATCTTAGAACAGAGTCCTTGATAGCTCGATGAGCTTTGACTAGCAAACCAGGAGAGGAACTCACTCTCAACTATGCGAGATGGTTTTTTGTGAGACAGCTATGTCAAAAGTAGGCAAGCTCTGCTCTTAACAGGGATGTGTAAGAGATGGCAAAGGAGAAGTGCTGTTCCTGTGTGGATTTATGGGATTCTGAAGTACATTGATGCCATCTCAGTTTTGTGCAACCCCACAGCCCCTCGGCCTCCACCGTGTTGGGGGGATTCTGCTCTCTTTGGAGCACAATAAGGGCAGCTTTCTTTAATGCCCAGGGCTTAGCCCCTCCTAGGTGTGAACACCACTGGAGTCAAAGAGGGAGCCTGCAAAGCTTCTCTGCAGAGTATACAAGGTCTGTCTTGGTTCCTCTGTCAGCTTCATTCTTGCTGGAGTTCGAGAGGCCCCGTTGCCAATTAATGAGGTATTAACTAGTGTTTAGGTTGTCTCCTTTCTTTCCTAATGACTGTTTAGGTAGGAAGGTAACAAGATTCTTGCCCAGTGCCGTATTGTTTAAGCGAGAATGAAATCAAAGCCAGAGGCAGCTTTTCTGAAGCCAGTGTAATGTGGCACGAGATACGGTTACTAGCAACAATCTCCTCCTAAACATTCTCTCAACTGCACCATTGTTTGTAGCTACAGAAGAATGAAACAGGGAGAAGGAGCCTCGATGAATGATTGAAGCGGGAGGCCTGCGAGTCCCGTATCTAAACTCTGATCGCCTCTGTCTGCTGTTGTCTCTGGGGAAAGCTACTGGTCCATTCCTTCCCCAGCTCCTGTTCCTTGGGAGGGATGTGGAACAAGAGACAATTTTTCCTTCTCAATTTAGTGGAACCCGTTTGGCATTTTCTCCTCGTGGGAGTAAATTTGAGGTTCCCTGCGTTGAAGAGCTGTTTTCCCTTCATTCCCAAGGAGAAACTGGATGCATTTAACAGCTGATTGTGCTGTGTTGTAGGGCAGAGGACGTAATCTTACAAATCAACGCCTAAAAAAATACAGAGCCAGTTACAACTGAATTGTAATTCTTTTCTTTTTTTAGGTTACAGCTTTTCACAAATGTAAATAGACTCTTGATAAAGTCTTTCTGAAAGCTCCCAGTTCTAAACTCTTTCTGTTACCGGGAGGTGAGTTACGCTCTTGTAGGGTCAACACACTCCGAGTCACACAAATTAAGGAAGCAGATGGCACCAACTATCTCTGGGTAGATGTCTCCCCACAGAGGTGGCAGGCTGTAGGTGGCCTCCTTTCCCCCTCATGTTTTTTTTTTTCCTTCTGTTGCTCAGATCCCAGCCATGAGGGCACAGCGGAGGGGATGGAGAACATGGCAGATGCTGTCACGCATGCCCGATTCGTGGGCACGGATCATGCGAGCGATGAGGTTGTCTTGATGAAAATCCTGCAGGTAAGTGGAGAGAAATGGTAATTACCATAATGGCCGCTGCCCGTTGTGGAACATATCTTGTTACATGGAGATGAAGAGGAGGAAGCAATGTTTTGACTCTGTAGGAGCTTAGTGACAGGCTTTATTTTTAAACAGATGGCTCATATACCTGTGGTAAAAGCTTTTCCAAATGAAAATAATTAAAAGCTTAAATGAAATGATTTTTAAATTAAGGACTTGGTAATGTGGCGGTGTTGATAATCCTACCTTGTGCATGGTCTGTGTTCGTGAGGGGTAAATGAAGCATATGGAGCTCTCAAACTTATTTTTGAGAAAAACTCTTTGTAGAGACAAACCTATGAACTATACACCTCTTTGGTCTATGTACTTTTGAGCAGACAGCTAGTTACTGAATTTAAATATTGGGTAGCACGCAGCATATCAAGCTTCTTTTAGAAGTGGCTCAGGAGATCCTTCATAAGAAGGATCAATGTTCCTTGAGCAGTTCCTTCTGCTCATGGCAGTCCCTTCCAGAGGAAGCCAACCTTCTCTCGGAAATGTCATTGTACTAGGGGACATATGTGTGCTGTTCTTTGCAGGTTTTGAGGACCTTGCTGCTCACTCCAGTGGGAGCCCACCTCACCAATGAATCTGTGTGTGAGATCATGCAGTCCTGTTTCCGCATCTGCTTTGAAATGAGACTCAGCGGTAAGTCTGGTCATACTTCTGCAGTCAAGAAATCAGAATGATATGGGGTTGGAAGGGACCTCTGGAGATCATCTAGTCCACCCCCCTGCCACAGCAGGTCCACATCGAACGGGTTGCACAGGAACATGTCCAGGTGGGTTTGAATGTCTCCAGAGAAGGAGACTCCACCACCTCTCTGAGCACCCAGTTCCAGGGCTCTGCCACCCTCACCGTAAAGAAGTTCCTCCTCATGTTTAGGTGGAACTTCCTATGTTCAAGTTTGTGCCCGTTACCTCTTGTCCTGTCCCTGGGCACCACTGAAAAAAGACTGTCCCCATCCTCCTGACACCCATCCTTTAAGTATTTATAAGCATGGATGAGATCCCCCCTCAGTCCTGTCTTCTCCAGACTGAGGGACACGGGTCTTTTTACCCTTTCCTCATCAGAGAGATGTTCTAGAGTGGGTTTCCTCAGCATTAACTGGTTCCCTTGTAGAACGTGCAGCCATGGAAAGCTCCTGAGCTTTATATTATTGTGTCTTTCTACAACTTCATGGAAAATTTGTGAGGAGTTCCCTGTACAACTTTTGACTGCTCTTTTTCCCCAGCTTTGTGGCGCCACCTTGTGATTATGTGCCCATTTGCAGTAATGTTGGAGCTGGTTTTAATAAATTTGCCGTAATCTCTGTAAACAAGGCTCGGAGGGGAGTCTGCTTGAAGAAGCCTCTTGATAATATCACACTGAGTAATGACACCTGTGTTATTTGTTTTTGTCTTCGCAGAGTTATTGAGAAAATCTGCAGAGCACACTCTGGTCGACATGGTGCAGCTGCTCTTCACAAGGTAAACCTGCTTGTGTTTGCCTCAGCATTGCCAAGATGGCCCTCTAAGGACAGAAAGATTCCACACTTCCACTTAAGGGCCCCTCAGAAAAAATCATCCAAAATGGTCATTATTTAGAGGTGGAAGGGGATGAAGGATTTGGCACTTTTCTCTTGGGCTGACCCTGTCAGACTGCAGGGAGACAGAGATGCGGAAGGTTGCCTGGTTTAAGGTGTCCTTTGAGGAGAGATGGACAGCCAAGTAATGAAGAGCTTTAGGATAGGGAAGGAGTTTGAGGACAGAGAATGCAAACTTCACTCAGGGAAATAAAAAAAAAAAAAAAAGGCTCTAAAAAATATAGCTCTCTTCAGGAGAAAGAATAGAAATGATGTTGGAGTAGAAACATGTTGATTTCAAGCTGAGAGCTTTGACCTCACATATCAAAGAGAATTTTAAACTCTCGAGATCATATGTCTTGGACAAATGTTCTGCTCTTTTCAGCATCCTTCAGGCAATTAAGATTACTTCTTTTAAACTCAAGTTAGTTATTTAACTTCAGAAGTTTTTCTCCAGATCGTGAAGTGATCATAGACTTTCTCCTGGTATTGTAAAAAGGAAAGGTGCAGATATAGAAATACTTTTAGTAGGAAAGGATTGTAGTAAAACTGACACTTTGTCACACTCAGTTCCAGTTTGTTCTCAGTTTTTTTGTTTGGTTGTTTTTTTTTCTCTCTGTGCACCCCGTGTCACTCAGTGCACTGGGTTAATATTGGGCAGAGTCAGAATCGATCTCTCCAAAGAGGAGAGACCACATTGTTTTTTTCTCCAAATGCGTATGTGAATCTTACTTAGAGCTTATTCCTTACTTATTGTGTATCCTCCCCTCTGCTCTTCTTGATGAGGCTTGGAGACAGTGCCACCATCTGTGCCTCTGGACATTGGGACAGAGAAGCAAAGCAAAGACAGCAACTGCAGGGGTGGCTTGGCCATCTTACTTTCCAGAAGAAGAGTGAGCCAAAGCTGTCCTGCAAAGCTTTTATTCCTTCAGCAAGCAAAGATAGAACTGTATCAAAGGAAAGGAAGGGAGAGCAAGGTGTGTGGAGTTGCAGAGCTGTAGGCAATTGTCATTTGGTAGCACAGGTGAGCCCAGTCTGTCTCCTGTGTGTCTGAGACAGGGACTGCTTAGCTCAAAGTGTTCAGCTTACACTTAGATCATAGAATCATGGAATGGTTCAGGTTGGAAGGGACCTTAAAGATCATAGAGTTCCAACCCCCCTGCCCTGGGCAGGGACACCTTCTACTAGACCAGGTTGCTCAAAGCCCCATCCAACCTGGTCTTGAACACTTCCACTGTGCACCATAATGGTGTTTATGTGATGCAGAGTAGAGGGTAACTACTAGGGGCTCTACAAAGTCAATGAAAAGAGTTGCCATGACCAGTAATACCATGTACTATGCAAGAGTCCTGGTGTGGATGACACTCTGGCTCAGCAGCTGTTTGCAGCAGTGTCAGAGAAACCTGTTTTGAACCAATCTAATTAGTCCGCTGCTGAAAACATACACTGAAGGAAAAGCAACTGTGCTTACATGACCATTAACAATGAAAATCAATACAGCAGAAGTGCCATTAGCAGTGATAGCATGCAGAGCACCTCCCATCTATACTTGTTGTTTTCCCTCAGCAGCTTTTGGCAGGAAGAGAAACTAAGAGCATCTCTTTTTGTGGAGAAAACCTAATTTGGGTTTTCTAGTATCTGCAGCATGACTGAAAAGACCAGTCTGTTTTTTAACCCTTCTTGTCAACCCAAGAAAGCTGATGTATTTTTTGTCTTGTTCTTTGTCTTTCAGGTTGCCTCAGTTTAAAGAAGAGCCTAAAAGCTACATGGGGACGAACATGAAGAAAGTAAGACTCAGCACTGTGGTGGTTGTTCTGCTCTTGTCTCAGGCTTGCGCTCCTCTCTGTATTGTTTGCTTTCACACTTGTGTTTCTTCATCCCTGCAAGTCCCTAGTTCACTGAAAGAGCATGTTTAACCGCATAAATGGACGTAGCTTCATTAATTCTGTGGGATTAAGCCCCCCTAGTCCAGTAGTGAATCTTGTTAATGATAATGCTGCCTGGATTCTGGATTCTGGGAAAAGCCATCAGGTGCTGGAAAACCCCAGCAAGTTATGGGACCTGATGCTGATGTCATCTGATCATTTGCTGTCTTCTGCTCTCTCTCCAGCTTCTTTCTCATATCTTTTATTCACTGCAGGTCCAGTACTGAGCTCTCGAGATGTATTTCTCCAGTTTTCCCTATGTAAAAAGGAAATTTTTTGAGGCTGGTGAAACAGCATGGAAGCATTATGAAATTGGGCTATTGCAGAAAAAGCTTCGGTGGTTTCTAGAAGGGGCAGGATTTTGTAGCAAAAACCTTAGTTCACAAGGGCGATGCCATCTCTCTTGGCAGCCAAATCAAAGTAGACTGTTCTTTTTATCCCTTTCCCTAAATGCACAATTTTCTGCAGGTGGCAGGTCCAGGTTTGTTCAACACCACTGTCTCCCTCTTTTTAAGCAGCTGGATTCAGTATGGCAAATACTATAAATGTGACCTCACATGATTATTGATGTAATAATTTCTTAGGTGGGGGAGGTTCACTTAAGGAACTCCGTATATACTTCTATACATATATATTCTTTATATAAATAATGTCAGTGAAGATGCGGGATTGTACTGTTGAGAGCAGCAAGGTGGGAAGAACTGTCACTCTGTTTTTATTTTTAGTGAATGGAGAAAAATGGCAACATTGGGTAAACGTACATTTCAGAGGCAACATAGCAGTGTTTTGAGAGACTGAATGCTTACCTGTAGGAATCTAAACTGGCTTGGGGCTTTACTCCTTATAAACAATGTCAGTAAAGATGTGGGATTGTACTGTTGAGAGCAGCAAGGTGGGAAGAACTGTCACTCTGGTTTTATTTTTAGTGAATGGAGAAAAATGGCAACATTGGGTAAACGTACATTTCAGAGGCAACATAGCAGTGTTTTGAGAGACTGAATGCTTACCTGTAGGAATCTAAACTGGCTTGGGGCTTGATTTCTTGTGTGGTAACCCAGTGACTGCTGGTTTCCCTTGCTGTGGGAGAAAAGTGGCCAGATTTGTGCTGACGGTAGGCTGGCCTAAGGAAAGCTGAAAAGAGATCAGGCTAATGTGCTGCAGAAATTGTCATGGTCTGTGTACAGAAGGTACAAAGAGAAGGTGAATTTGAATTTGGGAAGGCTTCCCTTACCGAGTGATGGCTGCGCCCAGCTGGGTTAAGTGATGCTCTGCCCTGTGTCCGGTCTGTGCGGTTGCCTTGCGCTGTCTCTTTGCTGTGCATGCCAGGCATCTGCCCCACTGCCTGTGCTCGGCCAGGTTATTCTTCTCTTTGGGTTTATTTGGCTTTGTTTAAACCATGCATTTGCCTGTCTTTCACAGATCTCTTCATGTCTCCTCAACAAACTGGAGCTTAGTGGGGAACAGCCCAAAGCCCTGAACCAATTAGAGAGGGTATTGCTCTTTAAGAACCTGAAGGTCTCTCTCTCCCTTCTCCCTTCTTACCTCACTCCCCTCTTTTTTCTCTTGGAAACACCCCCTGAGAGAGAGTTCTGTTGTGTGCAGCCCGTCTCCCTACACTCATTTGACACAGCATGGCTTTTGGGGACAAGGCATGCAGCGATGGCTTTGCAGTGTTGTGGCTACAGCTGGGGCAGGCTGGGGAGGGAGAGACCCTTGTTTTACTGCAGCATTCGGTGTCTCGGTGAGTGCCACCTGAGACACCATCACGGCATCCTCTGAAGGGAGTTGGGAGGGCATGAGCAAGATTTGAGTCCTCTATGCCAGTGAAAAACTGAAGAAAAGAAACATAAAGAGCACAGATTGCTCTCTGAAGGCTCAAGCGTTGTGTGTCCTAGCTGTTGGTCTTGGTTATAGATGTAGCAGCGTATCCGAGGGGTCACTTGACCCAGAAAGCCTTAAACAAGTTCTACTCAAGGTGAATCTCTGAGCTTTGGTACAGGACCACAGAGTTCATGCTCTCTTGAGCTTTTTTTAAAGGAGAACTGCTGTACATTTTCGACATCTTTGCCCATGTTTCTACTGAAATGAAATATGGTTCCCAGCATGGAATTTGCTAATGGGGGATGAGTGGGGCTGGACTGAGTTACAAAATGTGTTAGTCCCTGCTAGTTCCCCTAGAAAATGCTTCTAAGGAACTATTATAGTGCTGCAGGTTGTTGGCTTTGGACCAGTTGTACAAACCCTGAGAAACTGCCTTAAATGGCACCATTCTTGGTTTACCATGTTGATTCATAACCTTTAGTTTTTATCTGCCATTAATGCTATTTGGTCCAAATGGAGCTGAACAGAACAATTAGAGACATATTTGCCATTCTTTTGTCCTTTGTCTATCTGTGGTCAGGATAGTTTGGAAACACAGTGGCTGGAGACTCCCAGATTTATGCAGTTACACAGGAGAAGAGACTAAGAACTGTTTCCCTTTGCGATAGGAAGTTTTGTAGTTAAACATTGGGGTCTGTGGTGGGAGTCAGGAGGATTTTCACAGATTTTGGGAGGTGGATTATGTTCATAGTTGCCTAAGATGCGTAAATACGTTTCACCAGATAAACTTCCTTTGTTGTTGCAGAGCAGGCAGGTAGGTAAGTGAGGTGACGGGACTGCAGCCGTGTCTCCAGGACTTGGATCGTGGACCGCGTTCTCTCTGCATGCTTTTGTGTCTTGAACGCTACTTGGTGTGCTGACCAGTTCCATGCTGCATCTAGAATGAGCTCATGTTATAGTATCATCACTTTAGTTACTAATCATTGGCCCCTGCCCTTTTCTCTTGAGGCTTACAGTATCTTATGGAAAAACAAACGAGTGCAGGTAAGGTGGCTTGTAGAAAAATGAGATCTCATCGACCCTTTAAAAAGAACCCTGTAGTATTACATTTTTCTTCACCTTCCTAGACCTTAGCAGTAGTTTTTCTGTTAAAACCTCATCTATCAAAGGAAGCATTTAGAGTCTCGTAATTTATTTCTTTTTTTTTTTTTCTTTTACTATTTTGTGTACATAATTCTTTATACAAAGGTAACTCAGATAAAGGTAGTGGAATCTGTACTGAGCTCCAGGATGAATGAACCATAGCTCTGAGCTCCCTCTCTACTCGGATTTCTAAAGAATAGTTTTTTAAATATTAACTTAAGGTGTTTTTATTGTGGAGTACAAGCTTAATCTAATCTGAAGGACATTGATAAATAGAAAACTAATGCAACCGTAATATCACTGAGCACTGGAGAGGGAAGGAGAGTTTTAGATGATGTTTAAAATTCAGGATATGTTAATGATCTATTAAATGCCATCTACATGCAGCATTTAGTCAAGAAGGCAAGCTTAGGTTTAACATCTCAGCCTGTTAAGGTGCAGCTGAGCTTTCTAGGGAAATCAGGAAATGCCTTAGTATTGAAGGTAAAAAACAAGCGTTAGAAATAGTTCCTTTAGTCAAAGATAAACTGTACAAATTTCATGGGATTGTTACCTTTTAATTTAATGCAAAATACAGAATGTGAAAAATGTTACTTCGCTGTCCTTTGATAGATGTATTGTTTTAGAATTCTCAAACTCAGAGTTTGTTTGTTAAAACAACATATAGCCCCTTGACACTGGTGAAACATTTCTATTACGTATTTCTGTCTCCTCCTGTATTTTTTAAGCTATGAATTGTCATCGTAGTTTGCTATTTCTTATTTATAGGAGACAGCAAAAAGAAAAGGAGGGGGGCATGATATGGGAGGTTGTCCTAGATAATTCTAATAAAAGAATACCTGTTGGTGTAGCATGAGGAATACTGGATGGTATGAGGTGAAAAACACCTACTAGATTATCTCACCTGTCAGTTAAATTGTCAAAAAACCCCTCCTACTCCCACCCCCAAAAATAAAGAACCCAAAGCAACAAAAAACCCAAATAAACCTATATTCTTGTCTGAATGTTTTATATTTAGATTAAGTGTTTTGGATTCTTTAACTGAGTCTTTTTGCTTGCCTGACTAAATGGTGTCCGGTCCATCTGAAGCTATTGTGACTCAGTCTCTGAAAGATGACACGTGCTCATCAAAAGGACAAGAGATGGGCATGTGTCTTAGGAACCTCAAGAGGAGGAGCCTTGGAGTTAATACAAAGCACAAGACAATGACTAAAAATGGATATTGTATCTGAGGAAAAGTGCTTTTTTGAAAGGGCTGGTGTTGAACCGAGATGGTATTTGGTGTTATGTGAAAGGGACATCAGAAGCTGTAATTAAATTGTCGGCTTGAACCTTCTGGTAGGATGGTTCAAAAGTTACCTGTTTCTCAGGAGCATGGCTGAGGGTCAAAGGAGTGGGACCAACATGGTTAGTTCATAGCAATATCTTGGCTTCATTCTGCTGATTCAATTCTGCAAAGTCTTAATTTGAAATGACATGAAACAGACTTTCTTGGGTTTAACGCATAAGGCTTCCAGGTTTCCTTCCTGCTTGAGGTAGTTTGGAACAGTAAACAATAAGTCTTCAGGTTTTATTTTCAAAGTTACTGAGAAGGGAGGAAAAAAAAAATAAATATGGCTATTTCTAGAATAGTTGGTAGGTGAAGTAAAACTACTTAGTCTAATTAGCAGCTTAAGCCTTCAATGAATAAAGCTATTGGTAATGTTTAAGGCTCAGAGAGATTTTTAAATGGAAAGGGAAATCAGTGGAGGTGAAACACGAGGAGCTGGCAAGAATGAAAGATATCACATATTTTATATAGCCCTATGAAGTAGTGAATAGGAAAGATAAGCTGGCAAGAATGAAAGATATCACATATTTTACATATCTTTCCTATTCACTACTTCATAGGGCTAAGAGAGCTGCCAAATTTCACATGAAAGGATTGTGATCCATAAGCATTTTAAAACATTTTTAAATCGACACAATTTTATTTTTAGCTGTGTGCTTATCATGTAAGTGTTTGCCAGAAGCTGTGATTTAGGAGGAGAGTCTTGCTGCAAAATTTGGAGGAAATAACAAGGAGCAAAGTAATTCTGAATCTGCTATTAATTAACAAGCTCAAGGAAACTGTAGCATAGCTAAAACTCGAGGATTAGCTGTCAAACAAATAGATTTTGTGGTGCAAAGAAAAGTTACACAAATGGTTTACTGCACTGGGACATAACATTTTCACAAGCTTTGTTTAAATGAGAAGAATTACAGGCTGCCGACAGCGAGTTAGAATTCTAGCTGGAAAAGGGAAAGAGATGGAAAAAACAGTAGCAGAACCTAGAAGGTTTGTTGACATTTAAGAAGAGTAGTAGCTGGAAGGAGGCAAGTTGCAGAAAAAGGAAGACAGTAAAGAATATAGCTGTCTTCTAGAGAATTTAGATTTGATACTAGGGATATATGAAATAAAGAATATTATAGCCTAAAATATAACTTCACTGTGATAAATGTACAAAGAAGAATAGCAGACAGGGAGTGGTACTGACATTGCTGAATGGTTTCCACTACGTGCAAGGTACCTGTTGACTGGTTAAATTTTTCCCCTGAGTTGAAGAGGGCTGACAGCATCAGAAAAGCTGACTGCAGCGACCAAACCCAAGAGTAAGTCCAATCCTGCACTTAGGGGAACTTAATTTAGAAGGAAGCTGTTTTCAGACCTGCCATTGTCCATGTGACTAAATATCATACTGTTTTTAGGAAGTTCTGGAGCCTGTGCCTGCAATAAGAGCCCATTGCAGTGAGTGTCTCAGTCTGCATTGCTCCACCTCTGGCTCTTGTTTGCCCTGTCAAAAATCTGTATAAGAACTGGAAATAGGATCCTGGTCAAGAAGGACATCAAGGATTAGGTTAGGTTTAGATCTGAAGAGGAGTAATGACAGAAGGCAGGTGAAAGCAGAAGACAGTTTGTTTCTAAATCACTAGGGTGGTGTTTGCAATGTGTCGTGCACCAGGGAGGAAGTGTTAGAGAAACACTGGTTAATAGTGAAAAGCACCTGGAGGAAGGTGAACGTGACCTTGCTACGAAGATGAAGAGCAACTTGAGACAAGAGACCAGTGGCAGAGCTGGAGGCTGCAGGGGGGCACTGGGAGCTCAGGCTTCAGTCTCAGCCTTCATGTATAGATGGGGAAATTTTAATTGAACATCAAACCTACCTAATACTGGCTTATATACTTTAATCAATGCCCTTTAGAAGTCTGGAGACATTGACGAAGAGCTTTGAGATGTGCCTGTAGGTCGAAGAGACTTCTTTATCCTGATGCAAAGCTAGGAGGTCTTGATAGGGAAGAGGGAGTGAACTGTTAAGTATATATTATGGCAGAGTAACTGCAGTAAATTGTCCCTTGATTCAGGCATGGAGTGTGGCTAGTATGTGGCTAGTGGGGAGTCAGGGGCTGGTGTGCATGATTTTGAGGTGCTGATCAATTTGTGTGATATATTTAAACGCTGTTGCCTGACTTTGAGGGTTTTGAGACAGCCTTTGTGGGTTGGCTTGTGTAATCCGTTGTGCTGTGTGGTTTTGCTCTGCTGACATTCTTAATGGTTATTGGTTTTCAGTTGAAAATGAGAGCTGGAGGAATGAGCGAATCATCAAAATGGAAAAAGCAGAAGAGATCGCCAAGGCCTCCTCGCCACGTAACTAAAGTCTCTCCTGGGACAGAACAACCAGCAGCCAGTGCTAGTAACACCACAGGTAAGTTGAAATTTGTTTCCAGAGACCACTCAGCATCTGTTCTAGAGCTTTTTTGGAATCTGTCTTTATTTAATTTCTATTAACATATTGTTTTGGTTTAGATTTTTTTCTATTAGTTCTCAGTGATTATAGCAATGAAACCTACGGTAGCCTTTCAGGTCCAGGAGAAAGACTTTGAAGGAGATAAAATACATACTGATGGAGGAAAGCATGGTCCTGTGGCTAACTTGAGAGCATTCCTCTGCCTCCAGTGTCCCTTACAGGGGTAGTTTGTACAAAAGGGAATGGGGACTGAGAGAGGAGGTTGAGATTGTGGACAGTCACATGGTGGGGAGAAGTTGGAAGAGATTGAGAATAAGAACACTGACAAGAGGGGAATGGAGCTGGGGAGAAGGTTTCTTGCAACAGGAGATTAATGACTTAAGTGACATATTCTTTCCTACGTTCCTGAAGGGTGTACCAAAGGCTGTGGTGGTCGTGAGGGAAGAGCAAGGTGTGACTGGGGAAAATACACAGGTAGAACTGAGGGATGTGCAGAAACCTGGGTGTCAAGGATGGGTGAATGAACAGCTCTTTCGCTACAGATGTAAAGGCTGAAAACGTGCATTCACAGTCCATGAAATTTGAATAAAAGGCTACAGTCATTAAGGGACAGGGAAATATGGGGTGCACTGATGACAGTTATGGGAAGAATAGAGGCCTTGATGTGGAAAGAAGGCATGAAAGAAGTAGAGGGAACAGCAGAGGTAACTCAAAGGAGGTTGAGCACAGGAAACTAATGGGTATACACGAGTCCTTTTGCAGTATGTGACTAGTGCTGTGAGCTCAAGAATACAATATTTGGGGGCTTCCGTAGCCTATTTTTATATAGGAGTAGACTAAATAGTTGTAACTGTTTTTAACCTCTCCTCTGGATAAATGAGTCCCTCTGGCTGCAAAGTGCTCTGTCTCTTGTGCACTCTGCGTTTTGACGGCTCAGACATAAACATTAACAGTGAAAGGAAGCAGACTGGAAAGTAGGAAGGATGGCTGTGTGAAATACCTGGTTCTGAGGCTTATTCTGTCACAGGGAACTCTTTGGTGTGGTGTGAACAACCCCAAGGGTGTTTCTACCCAACAGCATGATTGGTGAAAACTAAGGAAATAATAAATGTGATCAAATTGCACATAACTCACAACATCCATCCAGATGAGAACTTACCTCTACAAAAATCATCATTATATTTAAGCTTTCAGAT